GTATTGTCTACTCAGCCTTGCAGTGTCTTTGGTTTCAGACAGCAGTTTTTCCCAGCTGTCTCTAGAAATGGCGGGGATTGAAATGGGGCCTAATGTAATTAAATTTATAATAAATCACAAATGACCTCAGGTAATCACCAAGAGAAGCTTCTGCAAATTGGCTGGTAGTTCCTCTCCACTCACTTATGGACGTGGGTGGTGCTGTGATCTAAACCACTGACCCACTTTGGCTTGCTGATTGGAAGTGTTACCGGAAAAATCCGAGCGCTCCCTTGGACAAAATAAAGACACCAACCAGGATAACTTGGAGCAAAACAGCAGCCTGTAGGCTTGGCCTTTATTGAACTGTTGCAACAGGGTGTTCCCCTCACTTGCAAGAGAGAGGAAAGACCCAGAAAGATGGTGTGGAAGACCTTATAAAAACTTTTGAAATTCCCATCCTCTAGGTCAAGCCCACCCCCAGAAACATCATGCATACATTACAGAAAGGAAGGGTTGAGGGAGGAGTTGTGGTGGTAACCTGAGTGTCCTGTCACCTGGCTGGTTCCTCCTTTCCCCCTCCCCATGAGTCACTTCCAGGAGACAAAGGGGAGTTGGCAGTTTCCTGCCCCCAGAGGGAAGATCTGATCATTGTCCTTTGTTTCAGTCCATGCGAAATCCACTCCCATATGCAAGTTCTTTGTGATCTTGATGGTCTTCTGTCTAGGACCATCAGGGTTGGCATAGCAACTGGTCAGGGCTCCTGTGGATGTGCTGGGATGGTGAAGGGATTATGGCTGACCAGAACCAAGCCACCCCCCTTTGATAGTCCTTGTCATATGGAGTGAAATAAAAATGGAACAGTGCAAATCCGATGTATGGATGATTTTTCTATGAATTTATAACAGAAGTGTGGCATATGTAGTGTGTGAGTGTGAGTGTGTGAAGTTTGTACAAACTGAATGATTGGGGTGGGGGGTTCCTGCTAGTTCAGGTGGGGTGGGGTCAGCAGTTCAAAACCGCACAACGGGAGCTCCGTTGCTCTGTCCCAGCTTCTGCCAACCTGGCAGTTCGAAAGCATACCAGTGCATGTAGGTAAATAGGTACCTCTGCAGTGGGAAGGTAAACGGTGTTTCCGTGGGCTCTGGCTACCGTCACAGTGTTCTGTTGCGCCAGAAGTGGTTTAGTCATGCTGGCCACATGACCCGGAAAACTGTCTGTGGACAAACGCTGGCTCCCTTGGCCTGAAGCGAGATGAGCACCGCACCCCATAGTCACCTTTGACTGGACTTAACCATCCAGGGGTCCTTTTTTTCTTTTTTCTTTTGTCTTTCCACCCCCTTCCTTTCAGGCTTTCTCTGTGACACAATGTCTAACAAAGCAAGAAAGCTAGTAAACATTTATCAGGACCAGTAAGTTATTTTCATAAGGTTTCTTGAGTCCAAAATATGCCTCAGCCCAAAGTCTCTCCTGCCCCTTAATCTAACCATGTGTATTCTTTTAAACTACAACATAGGCGACCTCAGGCTATTTGTCAAAAGAGAACATGACAAAACATTGGCTATCAGTGTCTGCATTTCTGAAAAGTGAGTCTGCCGAGTCATAATTGAAGGTTTGAAAGGCAAATGATTTGAGTGCTAGTTTTAATTACCGCTTGGTGAACTTTAGCGTATGAGGATTGTCACAACTTTCCTTGAGGATTAATTTCAAGCCAGGCATTACAGTGGGAAATTATTAACTTGTACTTTGGTTCAGCAATTATCTGCATTACAAGGTTTATGCAATTAGCTGTTTAAGATGTCATTATATTTTGCCATCTGGTACACAGGAGTTTATGCATATGAACAGGCACGTGTTGAAGTGATTCTGACTATATGACTCTTGTTCTCACCCAAATCATCACTGTAATGAGTCGGAGACACTGTGTACAATACATTAATGGCAGGTGCATATCATCAAGCTTCATTTTAATAAATGACATTCTTTTTCCCTCATCACCCCCCACCCTAGTTTTAAAGTATGCCGAACAAGTGCTAGAAAATTAATTACTAATTTGCAGTTTAGCAAAGACCGAGGATATGTTATTGCAAGATGTTAAGGAACATCAGTTTTCAAACAAGAGCTCTGCAATATTTAGTTTTTTGCTTTCTTCACTAACTTAGGGCCATATTCTGTTCTGGATAGCAGCAGGCATGACCCATGAAACGTCATGGGAAGCAAGAGCTCAGTGATTTATACAAGCAATTTTCAAAGGAGAAGTGAAGAGTAAATAACTGGAAACAAGTCTTCATGGTTAAACAGCTCAGTAGGGTCATTCAGTATTAGCTCATGTTACATTTGAACATGTGTAATAAAACATGTTGCATTCTGAATTTGTTTGCATCTATTTTCTAGCGCCTTTAGTAGCTACATGAAAGTTTACATTCAACAACAAAGTTTAAAATTCAAGCTTTCCGCATCACATTTCCAGGATGGGAAAAAGTTCTGCTGGAAATTAAATATGACTAAAAATTAGCTTCTCAAAATCGTTTATTTATTTTACTTATAGATGTATCTCTATACTGCCCTGTTGCAAAACCGAGTGGTGGTGTACAGCAACATAAAACATCATAACAGTGTGGGGTGCAGATTCCAAATAAATAAAAAAGAACCAGCTGTCAGGCAGCTGTTAACAGAAGCCTTGCTGATTAAAAAAAATGTGGCAACTACTCTGATTCAAAATTGTTCATCCTTATCTTTTGAAGTCAGAAAAATGAATCTAGATATTTGAATCTTCAGTGAAATCTAGAATGGACTCTGATTTTATTTGATATATTGTTAAAGTATAGAATGCAATTGATTTTAATATTTGAACCAATAGGCTCTATACATAATGGTTTACGTAATTTGTACCATTTATATACTAGTTGCTAAACAACAGATCTGTGCTATGCAATCTTGTTGACACTATTTAGGACAGTTAAGACCAAAATATTATCCCTTAAATGAAATGATTACTGAACAAATCATCCCATTCTATACATGAAGTGTATAGAAACTCCTTAACCTCACAAGAAGCCAGGATTAGATTATTAGCATAATCTGTGGAACTATTTCCCATGTTAGGGTCATTTCTTCATGCACACCTTGATAAATCTCTAGAGACTGAACTTAATCTCTAGAGACCTACTGCTGGCATATTTACAACTAGTCCACTGGAAAATGCCCATCACCAAATATATACTTAGATGAGAAGCAAGGAAATATTCTGTTCAGGATGCCAGAACAGCATTTATTCACAGCAGGAGGTGTCCCTGGGCATCTTTCAGCAACTACAAATCAATCACAGCCAAGCATCCCTCATCCACTAACACTTTTATTTGGATGGTCTGCTTACCATTGTTCACATCCCTGCAACTGGAATATTCTGCTGACGTATTAAATGTGCCCACATAGTACTGTATACATTTGCCAGGCACCAACTGTGAAACTTTGATGGTTCCTAATACATTTATAAGCATTATATTTTTTCCTTTGCTTCTCGTTTTAGGTCTATAGTGCAGCACTCCCATTTGCTTAGATCAATGAATTATGCTTTAGATCGCCTGGGAGGCAAAAGAGGCATCCGGGCAAGGTGTGTTTCCAATTAGAATCCCTGAGAGCCACTGCATAAGAATTACGTTCTGTGTATTTGTGTCCAAGTGTATTCAGTACTTCACTACTGAATTACATTAAAAGGGCGCCCTCTACTGTCACATTATATTAAGTGTGTAAAGGGGAGAGACACTAGAGTTCAAATGGTTGGTTATTTATAACGAGCATTTTTTCCTCTAGTTATACAGTTCCACTGGTATGTAGCACTCCTGTGTAATACATTTAGAGCATTCTATCAGATTTGACCATCCAAAGTAACTTGATAATCTACTAAGGCTGAGAGTTTTGCACTCTGGGGAATCAGTGAAATATTACTTAAAATCAGAACGAACACAAGGTATGCACCTTGACGCTTATGAAAAACTCAATGGAATTCGTTTTCCAAGTTGGAGGTGTGTGTGTAAAGTCTTTCCTATAATCATGCATTAATTAAGCTGTAGTCGATATCCTGTCGCTTTGTGCATGTATAAGTTAAGCAATATAGTGAAACTGAAATAATGGAAAAGATTAATGCCTTAAACTATGAGAAGTTTTTGAACATACATGCAAATGCTAGCCAAGAGGTTCAGTTTACACTATAATGGTGAAATTTGCATGGGTAAAGGCTGGTTATGTGAATAAAGAACATTTGCTGTGGAAATTTTAATGCAGTATCATTTACACTGCTAAGGATGAAGTTCCTTGGCAGTGTCTGGGAACATGTCATGATGTAATACTGTTGAAGCTCAGCAGCTATAGAGCTGGTTAGTTCCTTGATAGGAGACTGGGGGGCTCATATGAGCTTTATAAAGGAAGAGCCAACATGTCAGCTGCCCAGAGTGGCTGGGGAAACCCAGCCAGATGGGCAGAATATAAATAACAAAAGTATTATTATTGTAAGTGTAACAAGAAGGATGTGGCTCCTTTTACATGTTTTCCTAAATAAGATAAAAGTCACTTCCTCTTTTGTTAACCTTTCTTCTGCAAGTGGATTTTATCCCTTTCTTTACATGAAAAGTCCATTTAATATTTGCAGAAGTGAGCTGGAATTTGTACATTATTACCGTTATGTCAGTTTCAAACTGGACAGCTAATAAAACGTGGTAGCGATAAATGAACAGTGGGAGATAGCGACCTTAGGAACATTGGGTTGCTTTTAAAAAAAGAAAGGGAAAAAGTTTTCTTCATAGTAGAAGAATATTTCTTCTCTGATTCTTCTCTTTTATCATTTTCAAAAGTTGAAATAGGAACAAGTAACATAAATACCGGGAAACACTTCAGTAGTTGAATTTCTGCTTCTCATTGACGGCACAGGAACCTTACTACAGAATCGTAGAATCAGAGAGGTGTAGAGTTGGAAGGGACCGTGAGGATCATCTAGTCCAACCCCCTGCAATGCATAAATCCTTTGCCCAACCTGGGGCTTGAACCCATGACCCTGAGATTAAGAGTCTCATGCTCTTCTGACTGAGCTATTTGTGCCTTGGACACTGAAGTCTGATTTAAAGTTTCAACCACCTTCTTCCGTGTCCAAATGAAGTGATTGCCAGTGGAGTTTGGGACACAGCGATGGCCTCACTCTCTTAGTCACAATTCACACATGCTGTTTACAGTTATTTCTGCTGATACCACTTGCACACCCAATATTCTCATAGTGAAGTCATTTCTCCAAATAAGAATACAAAAATTGTATCACCTGAGCTGAAGTGGAAAGTATCACACTTTAGAAAATTGGTTTAAAACTGCTTTAAAGGGGAGGATGGAGTTGGAAAGCCAAGGCCTGATTAATTCTCAGTGGTCACAATTCCTCACTGATGGTTTAAAGGGTGATGATGGAAGGAAAACTAGAAGCAAATGATAATAGAATATAGGATCCTAGAAAAAGACATGGCTGACTGGCTGAAACCCTGAACAGGAACACTCCACACCGTAGCATTGTGTTGCCTGCTCCACTTATTATTTTGTTTCAGTTGCTGCTTACACTTACATCTACATCCCACCTTTCTTGCAGGAGCTTAGGTGGTGAACATAGAATCATAGAATCATAGAGTTGGACATGGTTAATTCCCAACCCATCTTAGCTTCACAATAACTCTGTGAGGTAGGTTATGCTGAGAGATGGTGACCAGCTCGTGGTCACTTCATGGGTATGTAGGGTTTGGACCAGAACAGACGTCTTTCCCATAGGGCTTAGTGGTGCATTGCGCCAGGGCGCCGGCCTCTCAGGGGTGCCCCAGCGAGTGGGGGAACTGTGCGGCTTTGCTGGTGGCCTCCCCTTTCCCTGCACGCCCGTCAGCTGCGCCCCGCCAACCATATGGCTGGCAGGCAAGCAGCTTCCTTCCCAAGCCTCTGCGGGGTGGGGGAGCGATCCCTGCAGAGGCTTAGGATTGAAGCTGCGCCCCGACAACCATATAGCTGGCAGGCATGCAGTTTCCCTCCCAAGCCACCGTGGGGAGGCTTGGGAGGGAAGCTGCGTTCTCCTCCCGCAGAGGCTTGGGAGGGGCGCAACTTCCCTCCCAGGCCTCTGCGGGCAGTTCTCTCCTGCAGCAGCATGGGGGGGAGTTGCGCCCCCCCAATGGCTGGCAGTGTGCAGCTTCGCCCCCCCCCATCCATGGTAATTTGGGGGCGATGGGCAGATATTTGCACCCTGGCACCACATCTGCTAAAGACGGCCCTGGACCAGAACTAGCATAGTTTTGTGATTTGTTGGAGCAATACCTGGGAAATCCCTGCTCAACCATGAAGCTTACTGGGTGACAGTGGGTCAGTCACTGTCTCTCAACGTAACCTACCTCACAGGGTTGGTGTGAAGATTAAATGGGGGTTAGGAGAACTATGTATGCCACCTTGAGGTCACTGAAGAGAAGCTGGGATATAAATGTAATACTAAAAAAAATTCCTAAATCTTCCCCATCCTAGTCTCTAATCTCTATACCATGTGGCCGTGTATCTGCCAGATATCATATGGAGTGTACAGTGTGTGCATTGTTTGATGAACTTTGACTATGGAATTCAGGCTCCAATAGATGTTTATAATTTAACTAATTTGTTAACTGGGCTCTATGCAGTTCCTTGGCAGGGCTGTTAATACAGGCCCAGTCCAAGGGAAGAGAGGGAGAGGGAGAGGAAGGCCTAGAAGCTGAATGGAGCTTAAGTGGGTAGTACGCAGTTAAATTACTGTGCCTGAAAATGCAACACAGTGTAAACTAATGGAACATAGATATACTTTTGCAGTGATTTCAGTAATGGTTGCAGTGCTTTATCCACTGTCCCAGAAGCAGGATCATATGGAGAAAACGCAGCAAGGAATAACTGGCTGCATACATTCTTGTGCAGTAATAATCCACCTCCTTTACACAAACTTAGTTGCTGTTTTAGAAAACACTACACCAAGGTGTTGATCTTGACTGCAGAATTGTTCTCCAGGTGTTTTCAGTCCCTTGATTTTTGTGTCTTTTCCCTGTCACTGTGCAAAATGGGAAGCATAGAATTTGCTCATAGCTGTAGACAAAATACACATCCATTCAGTTTGTATCAGTTAATGCTCCATGGATGTTCTATCATCTGTACTGGCCCTTACCTTCAGGTGGACATTTTTTAAAGATGCCATGAAGGAAGGGGGAGTAGAAGAGATGCTGTTCCAGAAATGAGGAATGGTTTGCATGGAATTTGGATTTTATTATTTGTATGCCTGTCTGTTTGAAAAATATGTATGCTTGAGAATGTTCGTCTTGTTAGATGTATCAGCCCTGTTGTTATTTTAATAAGTTTGAAAACTGCCTTTTGAAATCCCTTTTCCATTTCCATTTAAATGTTGCTGTTGTTACTAATTCATCAGTTAATACATACCACTTATTTTGTTTTGATTCAATGTTCCTTTGACTTTGATAAATTTGCTTATTGCTGTTTTCATGTTACTGTTTCAGGAAAACTAAGCTGCAGCCTTTGAAGGGGCATTACTATGGGTTCACCTCTAGGTGGCGTGCCAATCGCCTAGCTCAATTTTTCAAGTGCTAGATAATAACTCAAAGCATTCCTTTGACTGTCCTCTGCATGCATGGCTTCAGAAATACTTAGCTGTTTCCCTTAGCTTCCACTATTGATTTTTGTTGTTGTTTAAATATATAGATACATCCAAACCCTTTGGGCCTAGAGCTGCCGTTGATGAAGAAGAATGTTTTCACTTCAAAACACAGTTATTTGTAAAGTGGACTGACACCCTGACTGCTAAAAGCCACATTAATATGCAAGCTAGCTAGCTTTTGCATACCATTCACCATCCCAGACAGATTTTCTGCTTAGAGCTAGAAGGGGGAAGGGGAGGAGGGAACAGAGATTGCCCGGAATCAAATGAACAAGACTGTGTACTTTAGAAATCATCTTTATATGAACTAGTAGAGGCAGGAAGAGAAATTAACAACTTTCAACAATTTGTTAATACCTCAAATTGTACATGTTTTCCCCATTTCTGTATTAGTATACCGAGTGGACTGAGATCTGTTTCCAGCAGCAACATAAGAAGTTAATAGCAAATCTCTGTTTGTACTGCCTCCACTGAAACACCTGTAGAGTTCCGTCTGTTACTACCAGTTTTCAGTATTCTTAGGAGCAATTCACTTGCTCTTTCTCACCTTTTTATCACAGATTTCCTCCAACATACAATTTTGGAAAATCCAGATTCTATTTTACTTAACGCATACACAACCTTCCCCATTCCACATCTTTGGCAGGACTTTTCACAAAACTTAAGGCAGCTCAAATGAACATGCACGGCTATTTTTGCTTTCAGTATCAGTCCAATTAGACAAAAAAACAAAAAACACAAGAGTCCACACATGTGTGCCTCCTTTTAGTTTCAGGACAGCAGAAAAACTTTTCTGCAAAGTTGTAAAAGTCCAAACTTTCCATCTCTTACTCAAACACCCCCCCTTCTTTTCAGTCTATGAAAGATACAATTGTACTCCTAATGGTTTAATGATAGATTCTTCATAATCATCCACAGGCAGGCAGATCTTTAGACTTGATCTTTCTCTAAAGCTTCTTCAGCTAATCCGTTAGCTTCAGTACCCCTTGCTGAGGTAAGCTGGTAAGCAGGTAGTCCTTTCTGCTTCTCCATAAGTCGGCTAGCTATTACAGTCATCTGTGTGAAGCAATCGCCGGATGAGAAACAGAGCCATACAAAAGAGACAAGGAGCGTTTCCTGCGCAAGCTGGAAATTTAATTTCAGAATTGCTTTTTCTACTTTTGTGTTTATGTGTATGTGTGTGTGTGTGTGTGTATGTACACAAGTGTCTTCTCTTTGCATATTCTGTGTGTGAATAATGGTGTTTACATCCAAATTAATTGCACAAGCCCACCTACAGAACACTCAGAAATAATTTTATGTTCATTCCCTATGCTATGTAGGAAACTTTTCTCTTTTTTAATCTGTTATCTTAAGTGTTAATTCACACTATACTGTTTTTGTCTGTGCAAGCAGACTCCACTCATGCACACCCACACAAGCAGACATTTATAATGTGTAAACTAGACATTTGTGAATACAGTCAGCAGCAATTCAGGTGGTAGAGGATGGTGTGAACATGATAAGGCTATTCCGTTCCTTTTCTTTCCTGGCTGAAACATATGCATACTTACCTGAAAGTAAGCCCCAGTGAATACAGTGGAACTCGCATCTGGGTAAACATGCATAGCATTGCACTGCATTTCAAGGCTGCTACTGATAGCAATGGAAGATACTGTTGCCTATCTCATCAAGACTATCTTTTGCATTGAATTTGTTAAAAATAATAGCATTAGCATGTTTCCATCCGTTTAAAAGTGGGTTGAAATTACTTTGCACAATATTGTTACAGCCTGAAATTAATTTGGGCATGATTTATCTCAATAATACTCTTTGGAATATGCAATTTTCAATGCTAATTTACCTTAGCTGTGTTAGATATATTTTTACACAAGGTTACCATGTCTGAAACAGTGACTTAAAAAAATAGTATAAAGATTTTACTATATTTATTATAATGTAGAATAAAATGGTTAGTAAATAAGATAATAGAGGCAGGTTAGGCTAGAAGGCAAATAAGTTATCGATCTGGTTGGTTGGTTTAAATCAAAAAGTTGATTAGCTGTGCAATAACCCCCCCCCCAAATTTGTAGTCTCCAAAGTACATATTAATATTCCATAGCTAATAATTATTATTTTTACTATGTTGTTGTGGTACTTGTGTTAATTTAATTAATTCAGAATTATTATTTTAATTTTAAAGGACAACACAATTTAATAGACAACATAATTTAAACATGATTGTTAGGCAAATCTTTTGTTCTAAATTTTTCTGGATTTGCAGTCCAGTTTTAAGGTTGTACCTAAGTCATACTCAGAGCGGACACATTGAAATCAATTGACATAAGTTTGTCATAATGCTTAACTTAAATCTATTAATTTAAATGAGTCTGCTCGGATAAGAGCTTATTTGGATACT